TTAGTGCAAGGTTACTTTAAAAAACTCGAACAAAAAATAAAAACACATAGACGAGACTCTTTGAAACTTAAATTACAGACTTTAGAAGATAATTTGGATCGATACTCAACAATATTTATAAATTTATATATAAAAAAACAAGTTCTACAAGAGATTGAGTACATTAATAGAATTCTATTAGTAAGCCTGATGTAACTATAATATTCAAGAAGTCTTGTATCTTTAGTTTATTAAACTATACATAAAATATCTTATTATATCTATTAGACCTCTTATAAATACGACTATCAAAAAAGTTATTAACATAATCATCACTTTCCTACCCTCAGTCCTTTACCTCAATCATTTATCTTACCAATTGAATGATGCCCCAAACGCTAATAATAAGTCCGCAAAGGGACAATTTAGGGCCGCAGCATTTCATTTTGACTCGATTTTTTTAAAAGCACACACACAGAATTAAATTAAATGCCAAAAATGACTATAAAATGTAATATTTTTACAATAATGATCGTCACGAGACGTCAAATTGGTGACCGCCTGTCTGTCATGTGACAACTGAGAGGTGTGAAGTTGGTTTTAAGATGGCGTCGAATAGTGTTGACCGATGAGATAAGAGGATCGATGGTGGCGGGAAATTTGAATTTTGAAATTGATATGTGAATTGATAATTTAGTAGTAAAGTATAATATAAATGAGGTAATAGATAGATTAGACTACGTTTTGATTTGAGTGAAAATCCATGGATATATACCCACGGATTTTTGACATGAAATATTCAAGGAATAATTTTAATATTTTTGATATGCTTATATAAATCTTCATTTAAAATATTATTTTTAATTTATTAGTAATAATTGCTTACTGTTTTGTTCATTACTACTGACATTGTAGACAAGTACATTCGCCATTTTAAATTACAAACATTGTTTTGTACAATTATTATGCAATATTTATAATTTTACGTTACTAGATTTAATAAAAAGCTCAATATATCTATATATTTACTTACAGTTATATTATGTATTTATTTTAAAAAAATCACCAGTTTTAGCTTCTGAAAAAATAAAAAAACCTGTACAAAATTTAGAAATCTTTCATTTTACTTGTATAATAAAATATGTCTAAAAAAAGGCACAAGAGTACATTTCATGTTTAATTTTCACAATAAAAACTTGCAAAAATGATAATTTTTAGATAAAAATTCAAATATTAATTTTATTATTAAATTATCATGAAAAAGATAATAAACAGACTTTGTGAAAGCTTTATTACTAAAATTAAAAAATATAAAACAACCTTCTGCCAAAAGTCTCTTAAAAATGGATATTCTTAGTTCATAGCAAAACAACTGCATAATTCATCTTTTTAAAAGAACATAAAAAATTGTTTCTATTGCATAATATTTTGTAATAAAAATGCTGAATGATGACACATGTAAGTAGTCGAAACGTACAGTTGAAACATTGGCAGTACTCATTGTTTCATATATATATACATTATAAATATACATTATATTTATACATTATATATATATATATATATATATATATATATAAATATATGTATTTATTAAATGAAGTACCTGTCACGATGTTTGTCCTCAATCTTGTCCTAAACTAGCATTTATACCCAACTTAGGTTATAAATATTAAATTAAATATATAAGTATTAAACCACCATCTTTCCAAACTATCACAAATATTTTTATTAAACAACATCTGTATAAAAATCACATTATCCATCTTACAATCACACACTCCTACCATTAATATATATCTCTATCTAATAATATTAATCCTAATGTTACAATTAATTAATATTTTTTTCTCACTAACTGTTGTGACTCACTAATCATAATACATAAAAAGTATTAACAAAAATTTCTTAACTTAATAATATATAATATATAATATTTAATATTTAATATGTATGCACAGTCATAGATGCGACTAAAATAATTGATCCAAATACTATAATAAGTACCCAGTAAACACACAAACGTTAAAAGTACGTAACTCAGATGTAACAGTTTCGTAGTTGTTACATATTGACGTTGATATAACGTGAAATTTTGTTTTTATTCGTTATTAAATTTACTGTTTTAGTAAAATTATATTAATAAACAAAGTGAGCTGCCAAAATATATAAAATATATTTTTAAAAAGTTGCAATAATTTTTTATAAACAAAAATGAAACTTTACACCTATTATTGTGTATAGATGACTATGTGTCTTCCATGTTACATATCTGCTACGTTAAATTAACTGATTGTGGTTTACTAGGTATTAATTAAATGCTTTTATAAACTGTTGTTAGAAATATAAAAATTAATTATTTAATATACTTATATATATATATATATTTATATATATATATTTAATATACTTATATATATATATTTTATATATATATATATATATATATATTCATTATACACTTGCATATGCAATTTAAATTAAGATGAAAATTTCTTCATGTTAAATTACATTGGTGTTATGTAACACTCTCATAGTTAATTTATTGCAATGATTTTCATCTCTTCCCTAAATTTCTCTTCCCGATTAAAATTGCTCGTCAGTAGAGTTCTTTTTTTAATGCACATTAAATGAGTAATACATGTTAGCACGTTAGTGGTGTTCTTTTTATCTTATACAGAGTAAATTCGTTTATGGTTCGTTTCTGTTCACGGTCTTATTAATTTTAAATATTTTAATATTGAATTTTTATAACTGGCCTTAGATCATGCACCGTGTATGTTCGAAGGACAGTCCAATCCTTACCAATAAGCAGCAGAATAAAAAAATGTATACTTGAAACTATTTGTCTACAGAATTGCATTACAGTCAACGATATAAATTTTAAAACAGACTATCAATCTCATAATGTGTTGTACGGAACCCTGTTGGTTTTTACAAGTCCGACACTACGATATTTGAATTGGGGTCGTCGAGACCTTTTAAATGATACCCCACATGACACGTGTGACGTCACTACGTTTCGGCCCTATATTTGACCCATCGCAAGGTATATAATTCAATGCATTCTGTTACTATATCTGTTGTAACTCCTAAACGGTTCCTCTGATTTAAATGTAATATTCAACAAATTTGTACAAAATTAAATAATCTGCAAATTTCCTAATAACAAAAATTTCTAGAGCAACTCGGTATACTTTAAATTCGTAATTAAAACAGAACATTTTTGTCACATATCTAGAAACATAGCTGTATAGAATCCTATTGTTATTACAAGACTGTTAATAGGATATTTATATTCAGTCTGTGAGGGCCTTTTAAATGATACCCTACACTACCTGCTTGATATGACAACGTTTCGACCCCTTATTTGACCCATCGCACTGTGTACAGCTCAGTGCATTTATTTAATAAATCTATTGTAACTTCTAAACAGTTCGTCTGATGTAAATGCAATATTCGATAATTTTGTGGAAAATTAATTTATGTACAATGCTGTCTAATATAATAGCCACCTAAATCAACTCAATATACTTGAAAATCTTGACTAAAAAAAAAAAAAAAACTGTGTCACGCATGGAGAAACATGTATGGTACGGAACCTGATTGTTTTATCATATTCATCAAATTCATATATAAATTGGGGTCGTCGAGACGTTTAAAATGATACCCCACACGACATTTGACGCGAAACGTTTCGACCCTTTATTCGACCCATCGTACTGCATATAGTTCGGCAAAGTCTTGTAACTTCTAAACGGTTTGTTTGATTTAAATGCAGTTTTCGACAAATTTATTTAAAATTTAATGATCTACAATATTGCCTAATATTAACGCCCTATAGCAACTCGGTATACTTTAAAAATAGAAATGGTTGTCGTAATATTGTTTTCGGTACTTTATTTATATAGAGCTCGTCGAGACCTTTTAAATGATACCCCACACGACATGTGTGACGTCACATCGTTTCGACCCTTTATTTCACCCATCTTTTGTAACTTCTAAACGTCTTAACGAATTTAAATCTGCCACTCGGGTTATAAATTGCTCTTAAATTAATATAAGTGGAACGACAAGGAAATTATATAATCCCGATGTGCATTTTGATCCTAAACATATAACATCTGAGAAAAATGACTGCAATTATTCACAATTAAACAAAACTATAAGCAATAATTGCATTTTCAATTTGAATGATGTGATTGAAAATAAATATAAAAATAATTCTAACGATTTTCTTGAACTGATATACATATTACTTGAATTGCAACCAACCCCTGTTTCTGCACGACGAAAAATCGGCTCGTACCTTAAACCAAAATCAAAAACTGTGCCAAATTATATATTGGTCGTATCATTCAATATAAATATATAAATTGAAATATTTCCCCAAATGCATTTAAATAATATAATAGAACCAATATAATAAAACACCTAACAAAAACAAATCAACAATGAAAATTCTCATAAACTCAACACATGAGGTTTTCTGAGAAAATATAAATTTTAGACTAAATAAGTTTTTGTGTAAAACGTAAAAAAATATTAAATAACCATATGCAAGTATATAGTATATAGTAACTACTCCCGTTCCTTCGTCAGCGTTTTGTCAAAATAAAATCAAACCAAAGAAATACCGAATGACGGAACCAAATTTTTACCAAAAAAAAACCTCTTTTAATATCGAACGACTTAGAAATCTCGTCTATTAAATTAATTGTCTAGATTGTAATTTAATTTACATAGAAGAAGCAAGCCAGACGTTGCTTAAACGTTTACAAAACATAAAAAAATTTCAAAAAAATCCAGACAATTTAAAACGTGATGCGGAGCATATTTATACTTTAAAAACACAATATGGACTTTTCTAACCCGACTGTACTACAATTCCAACAAACTTTATTCAAACGAAGAATTATAGAAGAATCTTTTTAACTATTTATAACAACAAAACAACAAATAAACGGAATGCACTTAATACGCTGTGCGACCAAGTTTCTTTTATTTAGATAGTTCCGAATTTCTTACAAAACAATAAAAGCGTTCGCGCAAAGGATTCGCAATCACAACAAATCAACAATGAAAATTCTCATAAACTCAACACATGAGGTTTTCTGAGAAAATATATATTTTAGACTAAATAAGTTTTTGTGTAAAACGTAAAAAAATATTAAACAACCATATGCAAGTGTATAGTATATAGTAACTAGTCACGTTCCTTCGTCAGCTTTTTGTCAAAATAAAGTCAAACCAAAGAAATACCGAATGACGGAACGCATGTGGTTCCAAAACGTCGCAACTCCTCAAAATCTCCTTTGTTTTTCATACTTTTCCTATCAAATGTTCGCAAAAAAAACAAAAATCAATTATCAATTACCCTCTAGCACTCCCGTCTATAAATCTTATCCATAATCTTAAAAAACAATTCGACAGGGACGCCCCTGGAGACTTGCTGAGCGTGTTGCCTAATCATATTGAAACTGTCCTCCTCGTACATCGCATAAGTATTAGGCAGGCCCAACTTTTCGTACAGATCTTTCACCTTTTCCACCGACTCCGGATCGGATTTTCCGTAATGTTTGTACATAACATTCTCGAGTTCGTCCCTGGAGGCCCTTTGAAGGGCCACGACCGATAACCAAGTGCATTTACCTTCTTGAATGTCCGTTCCCTTCTTGCCGGTCACTGAAGGGTCCCCGAAACAATCGAGAAAATCATCCTAATAAAACAAAATCATATTTTATATAAAAAATTCTTTTGTATAATGAAACGATTATTCGGATTTTCATAAATCTTCATGAAGTTTGTTAAGGGATTTCTTTAGGATTTTTTGATTTATATAAAGATAGTTAGATTGTAGAAATAAATGGAGAAAATTGCAAACAAACGCTTATCATTGATTGATATTGAAAATATTTAAGGCATTGTTTAGACATTAAAAACAAGTGAAGACTGTCATTTGCCAAACATTTCTATTCACTTATAGGCTAAGGCAGTATTAAAATATAATATATGCATGAGTATAAATAAGCAAAATGTAATGTCTACATTATTATTGCCGAAAAGCAGCTGAGATGTGCCGAAAATTAAAATAATATAATGAGATACAGTCAATATGCGTCTGTCAGTGATCGCACATCAAACTTAGCCTATAATTCACTTTGACTGATTATTATTTTTTAACTTATAAATGCAGTCGTGTTTTGCCTTACTTTACTAAATCACGATGCAAAAATAATTTACTTATTCGAAAAATTATTTAGAAGTTTCATTGTGTCAAAAATTTATATACGGTATATTTACTCAAGTCAATGGAGCGTTTTGGGTTTGAATTTTTTTACTGTGCTCCAATTTGCATGAACTTTTGGAAATTAGGTTTATCTTACTATCAAGTTCAAAAGTGAAAATAATTTAGAATCATTTGCCACTTCCCGGGGGGATAACATTTCTTTTCAGTGGTGTAATTTTACTTTTTTTCAAAATAATGTCGGATATCGATAAAATAACTAATTATAAAAGAAAAATGTCTAATGTTTTTCAAAAAAGCAAATACTTTCCAAGTTACTGGCTACTGAAAATTTTTTTTTTTTTTTTGCGTTTTTCATCGTTTTTTGCTAATATCTCCCAAAATATACATTTTAACGAAAATCATATAATGAACAAAATTATATCAATTAAAATCTTAATAAATCGGTGTTTTATAAAGTGCTCTAGAAACAATATTAAGCAAGATATGAAAATGGGGTTTTATAGTCCTCAAAATAAGCTTTAAATGAGTACTTGTGCGTGTAAAATGAGTGAGCTATCATGCAAATAAAAGACGTATACAATGTTTTTCTCATTTAAATTAAATAGTTTATGAGTGCCATTTCCACCAAATTTAAAAATAATCGTATTTCATCTAGAATTAACTTGGTTTAAGAGATCTTGACGGATTCTAGAAAATACCATAACTAAAGTACAAAAAAATTTCAAAAAGCTCATGATTTCATGAAAAAAAATCCATTTAAAACAACCAATTTTATATTATTATATCTCTGACAGAATAAAAGATACGTATAAAGGTATATAGATGAAAATTCAAGGTCTTTTTCTGACTAATTATTGCTTTTTATTATGTTTCTGTTACACAAATATTGATAGAGTTATGATTGTTTAAAGAGTGCGCGGTTGTCCAACCAGAGTGTCTCTCGAGCCCTTTAACCCTTCGCCGTTTCAAAATAAGAAAAGTTACGGTAAAATTTATGATAGAGAAAGTTGTAGCTCATTTAACTACCTTTAAAATAGTATATTACATGTTCTGATAAAATCAGAATTAAAAGAGTTATAATCCAATTATTGCCGTTAGTGCAAATTGTTTTCACTTCCGAAATTAAGATTAATATTAGCATATTTCCAAAATATCAAGCAAATTGGAGCACAGTAAAAAAATTCACAGAGCACACGCTTTTTTCCTCTCTATTTACTGCAATAATTTTGTTGATCGTAGGTTGAATAGAGCACATGTGAACAGGATTTGAC